TTAAACCGTCAAATTACAACAAATAATCTTTAGTCTGTTTCCAGCCTTTGATTCTCTTTTATCTATAAATAATGATCTGTGATCTGAAAAGGAGGGACGGCTAGTGAAGATAGTGCCTTGGTAAGAAGGAGATTTTTATCCTCAAAAGTTGCTTTTTTGAAAGTCAACTGCACTTTCCAGTTGCCTTCAGAATGGAAGAAGCTTCTTGGATGAGAAGCGAAACGTCTTCCAGGAAAAAAACAAGGAAAGTCCAGGTTTTTTTCAAAACGCCATCTATTGTCCTGTTTGGGTTTAGGCTTAAACTGTAAATAAAGGCACACTGAGAGGGAGTAAGATGGACTAACCACAAAGGTTAAGACGGCTGCACGCCGGGCTGGCCTCAGTTCTTCATTCAGCGAGTAGACTCGGACCTTGACTGGAAAGACAATTCAAAATGACATTTAATTTAATTAGCTGCAACAAAAGTACCAGCTCTACAATTCTGGTTCTTCAGTCCAGCCGCATAAAACTACCATCCTCAACCCATAAGAACAATAAAAAGCAATTCCTGAAGTCTGCAGACGCCTCAAATTCGGGCGTTCTGCTCAAAAGGGTTTCTGGAGGGAAGGAAGAGCAGACAGGCCTCTTCTCTACAGGACTAAGACCGATGGATTTGCTTTAAGGACAGGTGGCCCTTGACTTACGACCACAACTGAGCCCAAAGCTTCTGTTGGTAAGGGAGGCAGTGGTTAAATGTAGTTTGCCTCGTTTTACGACCTTTCTTCCCACAGGTGTTAAGTGAATCACTGCAGTTGTTAATGACAGGGCTGTGAAGTGAATCTGGTTCCCCCACCTTCATTTTAAGGGGATCATGTGACCCCGAGACACTGCAACCGTTGTAACACTCAGACTCCACCCTGAAAAGGATGATGGGGTCATTAAAAAATGACGATGAAAGGGATTATAAAAGTTCTCAGCTTCCCGTTCTTCATCAACCTGTGGGTTTGGTTTTTGTCGAACGGAGATAATCTGGAACTGGGATCAAACTCTGAATAGCAAGATGAAGGAAAACAGGTCACCTGATTGATCTGGAGTGTAAATAGGCTTGTCAGTCTGAATGAATAAAAAGCCATTATCGTACGTAAGCAGCATTTTCTTCTGCCTTGTAAAATGGGGAGACGTTGCTTCGAGATATATAGATTCCACCCGTTGCTGCGGATCATCGGTCCTTAAATCCTTTGGCTGAACCTAGATTTGGGGGTGGAAATGCTTTTAAATACAAGCAGGACCGTGCCAACCAATGAAAGCGGATCAGCTGTGCTTTGATACGTACCGTTAAGGCGACGGAGCCTTGGAAACGATTGTCTGGAGTCAGTTGGATGGTGCCAAAGGCATAGGTAGTTATTTTATCCGGGTAGCTTTTAAGAGAGATTGTGACTGAGAACTCCTGGGTGTATCCATAGGCTTGGATTACCACTTGTTCAGAGGCTCCAACACGGATAAATTTAGGGGCTGAAATGACATATCTGTAATAGAAACACATCACATCACTATTTCTGTCCATTGTGTCTTACCGAAGGCACCCCTAGAGCTTCGTTTACCTTGGAAGGCTATCAGAATGACAGAGTTGGAAGGGACCTTGGAGGTCTTCTAGTCCAACCCCCCCACCTCAAGCAGGAGATCCTACACCATTTCGAACAAATGGCCATCCAGTCTCTTCTTAAAAGCCTCCAGTGATGAAGGTCCCTTCCAACTGTGTCGTTTTGTTAAGTTGCCTCACAATTTCAGCCTTACAGTTCTAAATTTCCAAAACGGAACAAGCTCTCTCTTTCTGTAAAAAAAAGTCTGGTGAGTTGATGTTGGGTAACTCAGGGAGGAAATTGGGCCATTTGTTAGCCTCACAAAGGAGACACCTAGTGAAATGAAAGTTTTTTCAATCTCTTATCGGACTAAGAAACGGTTAAAAGAGGCTTCAAAACCCAAAACCAGAAGCCGTAACTCAGCTGAATATTTGCATGAAACCACAATGGGTGGAAATTAGATTGTATCGCATTTGCATCAAATCTAACTCTAATCGTGCAAGCTAATCCTCAGATTAAATCCTGTTTTAATTAACCCTTCCCAACAATTAAGCTAGGCCTAATTCCGATATACCTGAGGGTGAGGGTTAAGGGGCGTGCATCAGCGCACCGTTGTGCCTACTGCGCTTGTCCTTTTGTCCCCATTTATTCGTACCTATTTCCTGTATCGTTACTCATGTTTATATTTATACCTATTATCCTGTAAGCGATTGATAAATCAAATAAATCAAATAAATACCTTTGCAAGAACCCCGGTAACTACTTACGTTTGGTCCTGAGCCAAACCTCTTCCATAAAGCATCACAAATAAAAGAATGCCTGGATAAATCATGTCTGCACAGACTGGGCAAGCCAAGCTCTGAATGCCCTCGTCTAACTCTCTTTAATGAAATTTGTGATCAAATTGATCTAGAAGTTAATCATTCATCAAATCACCAGGGAGGATATTTAGTTCCTTATAGAAAAAAAATCGCCTTTTCTATTTGGAAAAATGAAAGGGAACTGATGACATTACTGGTTGCGTAGTTGGAAACCGCCCAGACGTTCACTTGGATACTGAGATGGGCGGTGTCTAAATTTATATATGTATGTATATATATATATATATATATATATATATATATATATATATATATATA